ACTGAAAGCCTCTGTAGTTGCTTCAACATTTTTCAGGTATCCATTCATGACAGTGTTACCCCTGAACATAACCTCCCCCATGGTTTTTGCATCAGCTGGTACACTCTTCATGGTAACGGGATCTTTAACATCAACTTCCTCCAACCCAACATGGTGCAACCCCTGCCGAGCCTTGATTTTAACCTGTGCATCTCGAGGAAGGACATTCCATTCAGGTTTCCAGGTGCAAAACACTCCAGGGCCATAAACCTCCGTCAACCCATACAATTGAGTCACACTAAATCCTAGTTCTTCCATCTTGAAGATAACATTTGGAGGTGCTGCTGAGCCACCTGTTGTCACCAATACCTTCCCTGGAAGCGGCTTTTGGTCACTAGCAGGAGCATTTAACATCATGTTTAAAACTGTTGGCGCGCCACTCATGTGGGTAACCCTGTGCTGAGCAATATTGCTAAATATTCCCTCTGCGGTGACATTTCTTAGGCAAATATTTGTGCCACCTTGTGCAGCCATACCCCATGCGAGGCACCATCCATTGCAATGAAACATGGGGACAGTCCATAGATATACAGGCATTGATCCTATTTCGCTGCTAAGAACTATTGCCAGAGAACTCAGATAGGCACCCCTATGGCTACAAACGACGCCTTTGGGACTCGATGTTGTGCCAGATGTGTAATTAAGCGAGATAGGTTCCCATTCATCCTTGGGCCTTCTGATCTCAAAATCTGCTTTTCCCATGGCTAAAAAACTCTCATATTCCAAGTCTTTTGTTGGTGTAAAATTGGTTTTGCTGCTGATGGGAGCTTGCTGTTCAGGTTCTTGGATCAAGATCAGCTGAGGCAGCTTTGTCCTGGCCTTTGACAGTATTTGAAATGCTCCCTGAACAATATGGAGAAACTGGTAATCAACAAAAATGATTTTGGCCTCTGAATGTCTCAGCAGAAATGCCACCATGGCTGAATCAAGACGTATATTAATTGCACAAAGTATTGCCCCAGCCATTGGAACACCAAAATGCAGCTCATACATAGCTGGGATATTTGGAGCTAAAGCAGCAACCTGCTCAAAAAGACAAGATGGTCATAACTCAAAGCACAAAAAGGGTT